GGTCACTACACGACACTCGGCCTAGCCACTGCAGCACACAGGACTTGGCACGGTGGTTGAAAGCCTCAAGGTCTCCAGGGCTACAGGGCTCTGGTCATAGAGGGCATTTCAGGAGATGTCCCATAGTCTGGTCTTCCCCGCAGTCGCATTCGGTTGGGCCATCTTCAATGTATCGCTATTTCTGCATGAGTGTTCTGCATCGACCAAACCCTGTCCTGAGGCGATTTAGGCATAACCACGTCGGCCATACCTCGTTGGCTCCGGGTGGAAGGGATTCCTGGGGTCTGAGTGAAAGCTCATGTTGGCTTGCCTGAAGATGCTTTGACCATTGGGGGATCCTGTAGTTTTGGAGGTTGCCATCCAGGGGTTGAACCGCGTGGATGAAACTGTGCCTGGACTTTAGTCTCTTCTGTACTGTTTCATGATGGAAGAGGGGGTGGCGAGGGTCATTTTCTTGGTTAAGTTTCTCTACTTGGGATGAAGCCATTCGTCTAACGTGTGGAGGAGCAATGCCACAGAGCAGGTAGAGGTCATCTACGTTGGTTGGTCTCAAGCATCCAGAAATGGCTCTGCAGGCAATGTTCAGAACTGGGATATTATTATTATTATTATTAATATTATTATTATTAATGAATAATATATATTAATAGTAGGAAATAATTCGCCCCGTGTAGCGATGTTTCCCGCTGCTACCCAGCGCATTCGCGAGCTTCACGTTTACGTGCGAAATTTTCTTGACAATGGTGAAAGCTCGTTCTGCCATGCAATCATCACGCGCTAATGCCGCATCATCGTGAGACGAAAGCATTTAGCCACGCTGTCGACGCAAGGTGATACTGTGCGATAAGACTGCGCGGGGAAATGCGAAGCTGTTTAGCTATGTGTCGGCTTGTTTTCTTCCGCAGCTGTAACGGGCGATGGTAAAAACTACCTTCGCTTTTACGTTCTCTCTTTATCTCTAACTTCTCTTTCGTTCTCTCTCTTCTCTTTCTTTGCCTCTGTCTGTCTGTCTCTCTTGCTAGTTTTTCTCATTTTCTCACGTTCTCACTCTCTCTCTCTCTCTCTTTCTTATTCTTTATTCTTTATTTTTTACTCGTGCTCTTACTCTCTCTTACGCAGTATTTCTCCAAAGCACCACTTGCAAAACCGAATGCGGGAAAGTTGTTTTATGAGCATTCAAAAATAGACATTTAAGTAGCTACTTGAGTTTGATGGGTTAGTTCACAGAACATCAGCGAGATAAGAGTTTATATGTTCTCCTAACTATCTCAGCCCGCCTCGCCAACATCAACGTGTTGAAATAGTGAAGCATATTTTAGCAGAATTCAGTATGCAACATAAAAGGCTCATATTTGTATGACGTTCTCAAAGCGAATGTATTACGTGTACATAAAGAATAATAACGGTAATTGTTATAATAAGAAATGATTGTGTCAGAGTAAATGTCAATAACCCCCCCCCCCCCACCTAAGCCGCAGATCGGAACCCATCTCGGACACATAGCTCTCTCAATCCCACCCAGCTCACTTAACACAGCGTCTACCTAAAACTTTGCTAAACCATACAATCCCACCTCAGACACAGCGAGCCAGCGTCTTCCCTAAATTCACTTCCCTGAAACCCTATCCCGTTTGCAACCCTTAGTAACTCCGCTCCCTTCAACAATCTCTCATACACACTCACCTTGATACTCTCAACGAATAATGGTGTGTTGGCAATTCAGATCGAGATACGAGAAGTTGACAGAATTTTATCGGGAAGTTTCCACCTTTTCCTGCTTCCACAGCATCGTGGGAGTTTCTGCTGGCAGTCGGCTCCGTGCATGTGCAGTCGGGCGGGGCGGATAGAATTCAATAAGCAGCGATGGATGTTTATATAGCCACTGCCGCTAGATTCATCGTCTGTTTATATTTCGCGGGAACGCTGAGAGGTATGCACAGTAGGTTGTAGGCGATACGATTAATTATTTCATAATGAAGTCATTGCAGCGGGATTCCGTAAATAATTAGACAGCATTATACTCTTGTTGCAAGTTCTACACAGAGTGTTCGTCTGTTCGCCACGTTTTGTTGACTTTATTCAATTTGCGTTAATTTACATTAACAAAAACACTACTGGCAGATGGATCGATTGATGTGTGGATGGATAGATGGATGGATGGACGAACGGACAAACGGATGGATGGATGGATGGCTGGATGGATAGATGGATAGATGGATGAGATGGATGGATGGATGGATTGATGGATGGATAGATGGATGGATGGATGGATGGATGGATGGATGGATGGATGGATGGATGGATGGATGGATGGAT